CCGGCTGAGGCGCAGCCCTGAGCGGCCAAGGCAGTTCGGCTCCGGGCCGAGCCCCTCACTTTCTTTCGGCCGAAAACCCCCGCGGGGCCGGCCCTGCCTTCGCGTAGCGGTGAGGGGGCTTCTCCAGGGCTGTATTTCTGGAACTTAAGAGGTTTCTGAGCGATTTCCGACTGAGTTTGGGTGCTTGAAGGCCAGGCCAACTACAGACTGACTTCAGAAAGAAGCAGGGACGGTTTCCAGGGGCGTTGTTAATGCTTCATGCAGCTATACAGCCACGTTGGATCTTGTTCTTCACCTGAAGTCATGGATTCCCCCTGTTAGGTACAATTAGCACAGATAAGTCCTGAGAATGGGTGGCTTTCTTGGATCATGGGGCTGTGCCAAGACTGAGCTAAAATGGGTCACCGAGCTCCAGCTGACTTGCACAGCGACACTGAAAAGTGTCAGTAATCCTTGGTCAATAAGCCAAGGCTAGTTACTGTCTTGCTTCTTTTTAAAGGTGTTTCTGGCTGTTAGCTTTGTTTTCTGAGTAGTAATCCAGTGGCAGTAACTGTGTTCTGCCTGTTAGGATGTTACTCTGAGCGACAAACTACTTTATAATTTTAACACTGAAGTCATGTGTTTTGTGATCTCGTTAAAAGTGAAAAAATAACAAGCAATGCAAGCAGAGCATAGATAACTTTTATTTGTATATCACAAAAGCGTATGATGGAATATCATGGGGTTTTTCGTTGCTTTTTAATATTCTTTAAGATGTTCTCTTGTCATCCTTTAACATCCAACCTTCTGGTCGGTAGAACCGCGGCCTTTATGTATCTCTGCAGATTGTTTCTCTCTTGGGTCTTACAGCTTTTTAGTCTGTGGTCAATGGATGTGTGTGTCTTGGAGAAGCAGGGATGAGGTTTGGATAGTAGATTTAAGATGGCGCAGGTTGATCATGCAGGGCTTTTTGGCATTGGTTAACTGTCTTAAACTCTTGGCACAGTGGTTTAGGGTTGCAGGGTCTCCAGTTCTTGTCCGGCAATGCTGAGCGCAGTGCGTGCTGACAAGATGTCTGCATGGCTGAGGCTGGTCAGAGCCTGTTTCACTCCTTTGCCACTGAAGAATTGATAGTAGCTATTTGAGGCATCAGCTAGTTCATTTTTTAGGACATGCTGGCAGAATGCGAGTTGCTGCAGTTTCTAAATGAGAGCTGGTGAAAACTTCTGCATTTGTCTGAGCTTTTTAAAATGCACTTTGTGTACATAAGGGTAAAGCTCTCAGCCTTGTGCTACCAGGGAAACATTAACCCTAGCCTTTCAGAAGGTTTTGCTGTCCAGGTAGAGCTCTGCACAGGCCGGTCCCAAAGGACTGTGCTGCAGTATTAATGGCAGTGCTGTCCCTGTACTAGGGAACTGAACAGGGCTATGACAAGGGCTGGAGTGTTCAGATTGCGTGATCTTCCTCAGTATTTAATTACCAACACCATCCTAGGCAAGCTATGGTCTGTGTCAGCCAGGATTTCTGGTGATGGTATCTAGATATGGTTTGGGGAATAATGGAGGCAGTCATTTTTGGCTGTCATTTTTCAGGAGAGGGAAGAGTTTAGTTATAAGACTGTACCACTCGCCTTAAGGGTAGGAGTCTGGCTCCTGGGCAGTTTTGTTTACTTTATAAACATTGCTTCGCATTCTTGTAGAGTCTGTGTATCATCTTTCAGACATGTTGGAAAAGACTGTCTTTTGAAAATCTGAGTAGATTCTGTCAATAAAAAGCTCCTTAAAGTTCAAGGATCATGATCCAAGTGATAGCTGGTATTCTGTAGTGGAGCTTGCCATTACTTCTACAGTTCCAGGAACAGCATGGCTTCTGGTGAATGTCTTTCATTATAAGTTGTAGCAGTGACTGTTTTTATGGCTTGATTCTGTAGTAGTTAAAATGACGACAGCAGCAAGACCAACGTTTGAACCTGCGAGAGGAGGAAGAGGAAAAGGTGAAGGAGACTTAAGTCAGCTATCCAAACAATATTCCAGCAGAGACCTTCCTTCTCATACTAAAATCAAATACAGGTTGGTATTGATTTTTTTGGCCTTAGGGCAAAACAGTCTGGGAATGATGTTTTTGTTACAGGTGGTACTCTGAATTTTTTCACAGTAGATGTTGATGTGCTTGACACTGAGCAGGCACCAGAGATTGTGCAGCCGTGGTGAATAAGTGGGCTAAAGTATAAGTGTCAAAAGCAGACCTGGGAGATCAAATGCATTGCAAGTAATTGGAGAAGTTCAATTGTAGTGGTATTTATTACTGCTTGTGAGAGCAAATCGTCAGAAGAAGGTGAGCTTGGGAGCCAAAGCATTTCAGGCAGTGGAGTGGAAAGAAAAAAACTGGGAACAACAGGGGGCAATCGAGCTGCTGAGGGTGCTGTCACTTGCAGAGCAAGATGGGATAAGAGGAGTGACGTTGAGCAAGTCTTCAGAGCAGGAAAATCACGTCATGTATTTGGCAAAGGACAACTGGGGAAGGGGCATGTAAGAGGAAGCAGGGAAATAATGGAATAGCACTCAGGCAGTAGCACATGTTGAAAGACCTGATGTTAAACACTGCAAGAAGTTCATGCAGGTCCTGGGGGAGGAAATCCCTTTAATCAGTGTGAAAGATAATGAGATCTTATGAATATTTTCCTCTGTTTGAAATGCATAATAAACCTTCGTTATCCTGTTGAAAGATTAAATGAAATGTGGAGTCAATGTGATACAGATAGCTAGAATTTAAATTAAATGTGTCAGCCTAAACATGTTTTTTTTATCTAACTAATGTTACTGTTGTCAGTGAAATTACTGTTAAGGTTTTGTATTTCTACTTTTTTGTGTAGGAGCTTACCCTTTTACCTCTTCTCTCCTGCCTTTTTGGCTTTGAAGAATATGTATGGATAAGGGAGTTAGAGTGTTTTGGAGAATACCAAAATCAACAGCACAAAAAGTGCTGTCAAATGCATTTTGTTGTTACAGGAAGGATTGGTGGTTTGTTTCTTTAAACAAAAGTGGGGTTTAGAAGCTTTGAAAAAGTGTGTGTGGACAAATATACACAGAAATATACAATGTATGTTTTAACAAATCCCTTCCTGTGTGTGAGAGAGAGAGATGGAGGGGGCATCAAGAGTCTTCTGTTCTTTCTCACAAATACCTAGTACAAAGTTGTCTTTGTTAAATTGCCAGGACTGCATCCCTGCAGGAAAAGTTCAGTGTTTCAGTCCCACTCACATTCACTTGAAAGACACAGGGTTTGGGGGGATTTTGCAGCTATATCAGGGTTCAGGTTTTTAATTACAAAAGCAAATGAAATACTTCATCATAAAGACAGGCTGTGCACACAATGTATTTATAATGGCTCAAGTCTGGGTTTCTTCCAGGCGCTCTGATTTCCAGCACTGGGTTCACAGAAGGGTGAAAGGAATTGCTGCTTGTTTTTATTCATTAGTTCTTTTCAAGATTTCCATGGAAAATTCAGTGCTCTCTAGGTGTAACTTAGTGTGACTCAAATATAAATACTCCATTGCTTTTGGCCAGTGTGTGTTATATAGAAGGGGGAAAAACACGTACTCACAACATGTTTCACTGAAGCTGGTGTTTTTCTTGTTCTCACAACTCTCTTTTTTTTTTTTTTTTTTTTTTGGTCATGGGAGATTCTCTCATATGTCTCTTGGAAGGGAAAAGGTTTAGGAAAAGTATGTTCTGGTCTTGGTCTTATCTGCAAGCTTTAGAGACTGCTTGCAGCAGCAACTTGGGATGATAAAACGGCGAGGAAAGTTGGCCGTGGTGCTAGTGGATGTCTGCTAGGACACTGGGCTTGGACTGCAGGAGAACAGAAGATTTAGACAGAGCTACAAGAGGTAGATGTGGTCATCCTGTTTTTGCAGGAGTTTATGCAGGATCTTTTAATTCATTTGAGAGCCACTGGAAGGAGCATGTGTGCATGGCATTGCATGTCTGTGTGTGTGTAACGCGTACAGAGAATGGGTCTGATGAAGAGAGAATAAAGAAACTTACATCTATGTAGTGCCCAGTTCTTACTCTTCACACTTAACCTATTCAGTCCAGGATTTATTGACCTCCTTCAAAAATTGCTCCCAGCTACAGACTGTCAACTTCAGCTTTTCTTCCCCGCTCATGTTGTTTTAGACAGGCCACTCAGGATGCTCCTGAAGAGGTGCGTAACCGTGATTTCAGAAGGGAGCTGGAGGAGAGAGAGCGGGTCGCTGCAAGAGAAAAGAACAGAGACAGACCAACCAGAGGTAAAAACAAACAAAAAATCTTAATACCTTTGTGTGGCATTGATCTTGTACAAAACTCGGTATTGTAAGAAGTTTGCAGGCTGCAGACAGCATGTAATGAGAGTAGAATTCGGGGTATTGGTCTGATAGTTCAGAGCTGTTGACCTGCAAGGGAATGTCCGCTGGCTTACATGCTGGCTTCGTGCTAGCATAAAATCTAGGCCAGCCAGTAGAAAAGTGTAGGCCATCATGCAGGGCAGCTGATACAGTATGATTGTAATGAATTGGCAACAAGTATGTACAGCTAATAAAGGGCTTTTTTTCTACTTGGACAAGTGAGACAGAAAGGAGAAGGGGAATGATTAATCTTCCAGTGTTACAGCACCAGTGTAACAATAAATCCATTTTTAAAGTACGCGATTCTGTTCAGATATAGTGTAAGTGTTAATTAAAATGCAAATCAAAGGGGGTTTTGGTAAATACTCACTTTTAATGTCAAGGTTGACAAAATTTAGGTACTTTAGGTTTAGGTGTTGTTGTGGTTTAACCCTGGCTGGCAACTCAGCACCACCCAGCCGCTCGCTCACTCCCCCCACAATGGGACGGGGGAGAGAATCAGAAGAGTAAAAGTGAGAAAACTCGTGGGTTGAGATAAAGACAGTTTAATAGGGAAAGCAAAAGCCGCACATGCAAGCAAAGCAAAGCAAGGAATTCATTCACCGCTTCCCATGGGCAGGCAGGGGCTCAGCCATCTCCAGGAAAGCAGGGCTCTGTCACGCGTAATGGTGACTTGGAAAGACAGATGCCATCACTCTGAATGTTCCCCCCTTCCTTCTTCTTCCCCCAGCTTATATACTGAGCATGACATCATATGGTCTGGGATAGCCCTTTGATCAGTTGGGGTCAGCTGTCCCGGCTGTGCCCCCTCCCAGCTTCTTGTGCACCTGGCAGAGGTGAGAGCTGAGAAGTCCTTGGCTAGACTAAGCACTACCCAGCAACAACCAAAACATCAGTGTGTTATCAACATTCTTCTAGTACTAAATCCAAAACACAGCACTATACCAGCTACCAGGAAGAAAATTAACTCTGTCCCAGCTGAAACCAGGACAGGTGTGAAGGTATTGTGAGGCTTTCAAATTCACAGACGAAAGCAGGTGGGGTTTGGACCAGACTAGACAACAGTAATGCTTTGGGGTGGTCCTCAATGGGAACCCTCCAACTGGATGTATAGAATAAGGATATTTCTTCACAGCTTTTTCTTCTGCTGTTCTTCTTGAAAGAATGACTTCAAAAAACCTTTGGAGGCCAAATTGTGAGTTTGGAGATGTTATTGCTTCCCTTGAGGATACCTACAGGGGAGGAATTAGTGTGCGCATTAAGATTGAGAAGTGAGGAAAAAGTAAGCATAAGTTTGTGTCTCTTACTCTAATGCAAGACAAATTGTTTCTGAAGGTTTTTGCTTTCTGACCTTAGATGCTGTTAAATGAAGTGACTTAGTCACTTTTTTGTTTTAAATCTTATGCCATAGAACACACAACATCATCTTCTGTGTCTAAGAAGCCTCGGCTAGACCAGATTCCTGCAGCAAATCTTGATGCAGATGATCCACTTACAGATGTATGTATCTTTTTCTGTCTTCTTTCCTTTCATTGCCCTGGCTTCAGGATTTGCTGTTAATAGAATATGTACATTTATTTTAGGTCTCCTAAAGATTTAAGACTGGTTCCAACAGAATTTCCTTTTACAGTTATTCTGCTGTGGTGGAAGTCCAGAGTGGTTCAGAGGATTCTGGTCCATGCTGTAATACTGTTATTGGAAAGCACACTAAAACTAGGGAATGGAATATACCACTTAAAGTATGGGGAATGGGTGACTTTTTACAATCAGTCAACTACGGGGTTAGTTAGAATTCCCCAAAGGTAGAACTGTTGAGGTATGCTGTCTGCATGAGCAGTGGATTCTTGCTCTTGGCTCTTCTCCTCATGCTGACATCTAAGAGTTAGGTCTAAGGCTTATCAATAAGCTGAGGGTTTTTTAAAATCCTGTTACATTTTTTCCCAACAATATTGGATGAGGTGCCTGGGCAACCATTTGTACTGTATTTGCTTCTGCTACAAGTACCCAAGTACTTTAGAAATCAATCAGCAGCAGGATTGTTTGGAGGGCTTTTTTTTTGTTTTATATAGGAGAGACGTGTTTGCAGTAACCTTCAGAACTGAAAGCTGGTTTTATTACATGAAGTGAACAAGCTGCTTCTTGTTTCTGTTTGTTGCTATTAGGAAGATGATGAAGATGAGGACTTGGAAGACAGTGATGATGATGACACTGCAGCTCTTCTGGCTGAACTGGAAAAAATCAAGAAAGAACGAGCTGAGGAACAGGCTCGAAAGGTAAAACCTCACCCATTAAAGAGCACTGTTTTTTGCAAACTGATGTTTATTAAAACTGGTGTGCCTTAAGTACTTAGGGTGAATGAGAACTGGTAAAGAAAGTAAGTGCCCTTCAGCTCTTCTCAAGTAGAGAGTCTGATGGATTTGTTCTTCTATCTAGTAATTGTTGTCAAGAATGTTTTTCTTTGGTAGACATATTGATCATTTTACTCACTAAAACATTTTATTCACTTTTCCAACACTTTGTAGAGGCATTGAGTCTAGATAACCTTGCTTTTCATATGCAAGTCCTTCTACAAAGACAAATACCGTACCAAATCATATCGTGGCATTAGTGAGCTACCTGTTATCCAGTGCAATTTCATTTGTTAACTGTTTTTGATGAAACTGGAAATATGAAATTTTATTTTATGAAATAAAAATACTTGCTTTTTGATGCTTTTGCTTACTGCTGCAAGTTTTATACAGTGGTTGTCCTTTCACAGCACTGGTGCTGTGTTGCCTTGGCAAGGATTTTTCACTTTGCCTGATAGTTGAAATTATACATCTAGATTAAACAGCATAACTTGTCACATTTCAGTGTAGCAAACTTGCATTAGGAAAATAATGGTAGTAAACTACAGCACAGATAACCAAGCGCATGTCTGTCTGTTCACGTGTAGAAAGCAGAAATGTTACCATCTCTGTGAAATACTTATTTTGTCACTAGAGGGTGCTAAAAGCTATGAAGTATTTAGTAAAGCACTTGTTTTATTTTGCTGTCTCTTAACCGGTATTCTTTTTTACCTTCATGGATGTTCTCCTTCCCCCAGAAGCAGGGTTTATAATGTTCAGTGCTACATGCATACTGAATACATGCATGCTTATCTGAAATTAATATGTTTGTTTCTTCCTAAAAGTAACTATTAGTTATTTATTTGCAATAGTGCACACTTGCACACTCACTACCTACCCTGTTCATCCTTTCACTGGTTGCTGTCTGATAGGCTCTCTTAAAAATTGACACCTTTAGTAAATAGTGGGTGCTCTACAGGTACTTGGAATTTTATTTTCTTGGGGTTTTTTGAGAGTAGGAAAGTAACTCCACATTGACTGGAAAAAGTGAAAACCAAGGTGGGGCACAGCCTTGGAAAGTCTTTGGGAGTAAGGGTCTCCTTAGAAAAGATCAGTGTGTATATTGGCTTTAGGAGTGCAGTCTGTTTAGATTATGCCTTGTTTTCGATGGCTTTGAAACAAGGCATTACTGGCAAAGCATTTTATAGCCATTTTATATAAATCCTTTTTTCCTTCACATATGTGGGATTTCATTCTACTACATATTGCAAACCATAATTTAAACTGAATTTTGTAAGTAACCTTATATTAATCATCCAGCTGACTTCAGGATAATATCTCATGCAGTGTTAATTGTGTAGTCACTATTAGTCCAAGTCCACGTACAGGGATGATTTATCTGCTGAAACGCTGTTGTCCACAGCAGACAGCGTGGGTAAACCAGTGGCAAGGCAAGGGGAAACTGCAGAGTGAATGCCTGTTTGCTCTTCTGCACATTGTTCTCAAATCTTTTTGTTGTTGTACAGACAGATTAACTCATCTCTGCATCTTCTTGGAATATGCTAGGGTCTTAACAAGATGATGTGGGTAAAATGCAGTAATATATTCCTAATTTGCGCCATATGTAATTTTTTTCCTGGTACTTTAGTTATTTTGATTTATTAAAATGCTAGTCTGGTTATTTCTGAGACTTCATTTAAAGTAAACTGTATTTTTGTTAACAGTTTTCACTCATCGCTTTAGTGTCCAGTATTTAAGTTGCCATGAAAGGAGGACAGTTCCTTTTTAAAATGCATCTCTGGGGAGACAGCAGTTAAAAACAAAAAATAAGAATCTGTTTTTTTTTCAGATCATCGTGCTTGCTGTTAACTTCCCTTACATGGTAATACCAATTTCCATAGAAATCCTCTAAATGTGATTTTGACAAAAATTAATATTAAGAGGTTCTAACTTCCTTCATGCAGATATTTCCCTTTAATCTGTGAAGCCAATAGTTTGTCAACCAAATAAGCAATTGCTGTCAAAGCTTGTTAACTTCTCAAAATATTTAAATTCCCTTAAATTCTGTAGAAACATTAAATAAATACTACGAATGTTTTCAAAAGCTGATTTGAGCATGGGAGGCCTCCTGACTTTTCTCATGCCCTCCACAATTTTAATCTCTCAGGTTGTTTCTAGTAGCCACTAAGCTGACTAGGATATTTCAGTGTTGAAAGCCATTTCTGTGGAATAATTCTGGGCCTGTCTAAAACTGTACAAACGTGAGGTCTGCTGTCTGTGTGAACTATCTATGGGTAGCTTTCATGGAAACTTGTTTCGATACTCCAAACTCAGCATCTTGATTCTGAGCTCTTGATTCTCAATTTTCAAGCACTTCCTTAAAAGGTAAATGGTAATAATTAAAAACAAACCTCAAACAAGTGGGCAGCTGAATGTATGTGTGCAGTTCCAGAAAAGCTATTTTAACATCCAGTCATTTTATGCTTATCTGAGAACAGACTTAAAGTTTTTGGTTTGTTTTCTTACAGTTTTATTTCGCCAAGTGTTTCTCTAAAACTGTATATATTACTTTACCAGTGGTCAAAAAAGATCTTAGCTCTGTCCTGTATTTCAGCCATGTCACAGACTTTCAGATAAAACATGAGAAAATTAATCTTGTTAGATATTAACCCTTTAACTTAAATTTTAAGGGTCTAACTAAAACTAGAATATCAAATCAATGGTTAAGAAAGAATTTCAATAAAGAGGCAAAAACAGATGGCAGAGTATTTTCTTCATTAACTGTTTGAGACATGCTAGCAATACCTACGCCCTTGCCAACAAATAACAATAATATCCCCTCCCTTGAGGGCAAAATGACAACAAATCTGTGTATAGACACTGCAGTTGTGGTTACTCTGTGCTCTTATTTTTCAAAACTTTAATTAGTTATTTGAATCGCTGTATTGCATTGTATTAGTAATTTGCATAGGATCAAATAACTGGAGTGGATCTCTGCATTATTAAGTTTTGTTTCCTGCTGCTAAAAGCATTGCTGTCGTAGTTTGTCATTCAAAAATTAGCATTTAAATAAGGTTATGTGATTTTATTTTATTTTTTTCTTTCCCCCCCCCCAGCCTTCAATGAAATGTGAGGCTTCAGGTTTTCTTTCAGCTAATCGCCATCTTTAAAAACTGAACAGCATAGCTTACTTTAATACAATTGAGTCATTTCAGGAATTTCAGCACTTTCTGTAAAAGTAATCTAGCTCTGTGTTAAGGGTAGGAACTACTGAAAAAAACCCCCATGGTAACAATAATGTTTTTCTTTCCTTTGCGGTCAGAAACAAATATGCCAAGGGACTGTTATTCTTACAGCAAGATAAGGAATAATTGTTTAGTTAAGGTTGATACAGTTTTGTCCACTTTTTTTTTTTTCCCCCTGACTGTGATACCACATGGTGAGTTCAGTTGTGCAGAGGCTTGCTTTGGATCTAATTCACGTAGCAGCGTCTCCATCTGCTTCCTTGGTGTATGGGACTCCCTCTGCCAATCCAGTCTTATTCCCTACCCCATAATATTCTTGTTCTATTGCCTCCATTTCTAACGCGGTGGTTACAACATGACTGACTTCTGATTCATCCCTGCAGATAGTTGGTGCAACACACTGCTATAGAAAAGCACAGTGCTGCTGTCTGTAGTGATGGGATAATCTGTAGCATGGCTTTTTGCTAAAATGGCTTTGGCAAGGAGTTGCACATTTTGTCTCACTGAATGGAAAGGTAGGGAAAGAGGCCTTATTTTATAAAAGGTGAATAGAGAAATGTAATTTCCCCCCTTAGGCTTTTCTTCTGTTGTGGGTTTGTTGTATCCATAGTGGTTTAGCTTAATAAGCCTTTGTTCCACCACACGAAAGAACAATGTATGCTTTGGAGCAACCCCAGCCACTTATTTTGTGAACAGCTGTGCTTGATCGTGCCTCAGAGGTGTGAAGCTCAGACAGCTCTGAAGGTTATGTCTGCCCTGTTTGATTTGATACAACCTGTGCTCCATTGCCTGAAGCCTCCTGGCTTTCAGTGGAGGAGTGGGCAATGGAAGATTTATGTGGAAAATTGTGAAACATAATGAAAACCTCATTTGGCTGGAGATGAGGGATTCTGCAGCTCTAGCCAAAATGTATAACTTGGCTTAAGTGTAAATGTCAACTTTACACCACTGTGAGTTACACCTAGTGCTTCCTCCATGTCATGTCTCTGAGGTACAAAACTTAGCAAATTACATTTTTTCTAATCTTGAATACCTTCTTTGGGAGGATTTAGTGAAGCTAAATAATACAAAATATCTTCAAGACTAATCTTCAGAATTAGCTTGCTTCCTAAAATTTGTAGCAAATACGTTGAAATGCCATCCAACCTAGAACAGCTTTGAACAACTGAATGCCATAAATAAATTACCATGAATCCTATAAATAAATTACCATGCGTGCCAGGTCGTCTTTGTAAAATGACTAAAACTGGCGATTCCTTACTCAACAGATCTGTTTCCTGTTTGCTTTCAGACTCTAATCTGTTGATCTTCAATGACAAAGATAAGCTGATGCAGTTTGTTACTGCTCCCAGTTGTGCTGTTTCTGCGGGTCTAGAAGACAGCAGAGTTCTGTTTGAACAGGGCTGAGAAACAGCGAATGCCTGCACAAGTGCCCAGGGGCTCTGCAGCATCTCTGACAGGATAGGGAAAATCAAGCTTTGAAAATAATTCATGGATGTTTTCTGTCACTGTTGTCACTATAAAAGAGTGTTTGACAGCTTCTGTTAGCATTGTGTTTATAATTGTTTTTGATAATTCAGTAGGTGCAAAAGTTAAATGTAATAATTTGAAATTGCCAAGATTGCCTCTCCCATTTCTTTTGAGTATAGCGCTATTTTTTCCTACCCTCCAGTCCTTTCGGATTGTGGTTGACTTGAGACGGTGGAGTTTTTTTGCTAGCAGTTAGCAGTTTTAGACAGAATTCAGTTGAACTTGAGATGCCAAGTTGTTGGGGTCAATGTGTAATTTACGTATCCCAGCTTCCATGGTGGTGCAGGGGATGCAGTCAGTAGAGCCTGGAGCGTGGTCGGTCTCCTGTGTGTGTAATTTAGTGTGAGCAGAAGAGCCATCTCAACACCTTACCGTACTCTCTAGATCTCCACTGAGATGTAAGCTCAGGTACTTAGAAGCAGGGACCAAGATGTAGCTGTCTTAATCTGGAGCTAAATCCTGCTCTTAGTCTTACGCTACTGCTTGTAGTGTAAAGCTTCTTAAAAGTGTTATTTCAATTTTGTTTTTTCTTTCTCTATCACTATTTCTTGTCATTTCAGACTGATAATACTTCTTTCATTGTCAGAAAGCGAACTATGTCAGGCTAGTTGAGGCTGAAGGTTATGTAAAGCAGATAAAAGTTAAGATGAGACCTAACATGCCTTTTTAAAATCTTATAGAAAAAATAAATGCATATCTGTGTGTAATAAGAACACTGGAGTAGTTACTACCATATGCATATTTTTTTAGGATTCTTAATATTGACTTTATCTTCTTTTGGTGCTTCGAATGACTGAGTGCTTTTCACTTCTCTTCTTGCATGATAGAGAATGCTGGAACAATCAGTTTTTTAGGAGCTGTTGGGATCAAATCTGAAACAGGGAAGAAGAGGGGAGAAGAACTATAATTTCCCCCAAAAAAGATGTGGACTGATTCCAGTAGACTTCTGATCATCAAATAAACACTGTCTGTAGAATGTATTGTAGTTCTGTATTTGTCAGTGGCGTATGGATGCATTTTCTTGCATCATAAAAAGCCAGCATCAGATGTTTACGTGTGCCCCAGACAAAGTGGTGCATGATGCACGGGCTCAGTAACTTTGAGGTTAACGCCTTAGAAACGTGAGGGCGAGACTGTGCCATGCTCTGCGTGCCACCTGGAGAAGAGTTCCTCGGGAGTTCAGCTCTAAAAAAGAAAACTGCTGTGTCTGTTCACATATATAGGACTTAGAAGTTCTCTCTACAGACACATTTGTCAATGGGGGAGTATTCATTTCTTATATATTCTATTAGTGCTACCTGCTCTTGAGTACTGTCCAATATAAATTTTTGGCTTGTAGCCACCTTATTTGCTTTTAAGGTTTATCCCAGACCCCTTGATTTTTCAAAGTCTCACTTTTAATGGAGCATCAGAGATTAAATTTTATGATGCAGAGCCCACCTCATTTTGGACAATACGAAGAACATTTCACATGGTTGCATCCTGTTGTAAATTTGCCTAATGGCCTTAAACAGAATCTGATCACCTCGCGGGAGGTACCTGAAAATCAATACTGATTTTTTTTTTTTTTTTTTCCCCGCCCCCGCTTGTACCAGTATCTTAGATTTTTCTTGGTTTCAAATTAGTGCTTTGTGTGCATGGGAACATGACACAGACTGCAGTAAATCAGATTTCATTGCTGTTGGCTCCTCCATGTTATGGGGAAAGAAGATGGTAAATCAAAGGTTGGCATACTGTGCTGAAGAAGCTGCATACAGTTCTTATCTGTAAACCACAGAGGAAGGAAATGTATACTTTGAATTTGTATTTCTAATATGGGGGAAACTGCTGTTCCATATCGAATATTTTTGTTCTCTGTTTCCTTATTTACTGGGGTGGTAATAACAACTGAAGTTCGAATGCGAATGTTGGATTTAGAGCTACATTTGAAGATGCAAAACTTCAGTGTATTGTGTTAATAACTTAATGGCTGCGGTTTGTGTTAAAGCTTCATGGATACAGTAGCAAGGGCAAGTTTTGCCTAAGCATGTGTTTTAATAAGGGCATTACAAGGCTATGCCATACTTTTAAACAATATGCCCTTTTGGGGAGTTTTTCCCATTTCACTGACAATTAATCGCAGCTGGTTGTAAATTTTATTTGTGAGAAGCATTGTCATGGTAGGTATTTTTTCATAACTACAACTTGACGAGATTTTTAAAGTTAAAATCTTTACCAGTGATCCTGCATCACCTGGTATTCGTATGTATGTTAAGTTGGTATTGCTCTTGAGAGCGTTGGGGTGTTTTATAGGAATATTCTGTATACCTGGTCAGTCCAATGGGAAAACACTGTAAACTGTAGATAGTTTTAGCAATATATCACTTGGTATTGATTAAGTGTTTGAAGCTAGAGAACTCTGGCTAGCATCAGTGTTCAAGTTCAGCCCTTAAACACTATCATCTAGAAAAACATTTCTTTTGGGATCTCATAGCAGCCCTCAGCCATTAATTTTCTGCAGTTTAGGGGGGGGAAAAAACCCCACCAACCTCACAATCTCTTTGTCTTTAGTTTATACAATTTTTTAAAAGCCATAGTTTGAGTCTCCTGCAGTGCTAAGGAGACTTCAGTGCATTTTTTTGAGTAGAATGTCTTCAGACCGTACTTCAGCATACAGGGAGCAGAAGACCAAGTTAGTCATCCAAATTAAAGAATTTTTTTTTTTCCTTTGGGTACTTTAATCAAAGAGCAGTCCTTGTACTATGTTTGAAAGGTTGTGGAAAAATATGTTGATGTAAAATGAGTATTACGTATTCTTTTTGAAGCCTGTGAACATTTAAGTCACTAAATATATTAATACAGCTTGGAAGCGTGGGCAGTGAAATCTGCTTTCTGTTGCCTGTGGGGCAGTGCTTCACGTAGGCTTGAGTTACATGCTTTTGTCAGTACAAGGAGAAGAAAATTTTTCTGCTCCTTAACCTTGTAACTTAAATAGCCTTATGACAGCCACTGCTCAGTTTCATCTTGAATTTCTCGATATTCTTTTTAACTGGTGCCTAGGGAAGTTGTAGTTGTAAAGCCCAAGCAAACTGCTGAAGATGGTAGAGAAGTTTCAACTGCTGTAAGGTTTCTTCCACCTAATGAATATTGTATGATGTATTCTCTTTTCTCATGAGGATTAAAAAAAAAAAAAATCAATCTTTTAATCTGTATACAGTTTTTAATATAATATGTAAATGGTAAAGCTAGAATCTAACTGAATATTTGGTGGCACATCAGATGTAAGTAGAGCAGATACGAGTGTGGCTAGATTGACAGTTTATTAGCAATGTTAAGCTCTTTAGAGTATCTCTGCTTCTGTCCTTATTCTACTCATACACATGTCAAACACTCTAAAAAGTCTGAGCTAGGCATTAAAGCTCTATCTGTGTCCGTGTTTGCAGCTAAATAATGTTTATCTCTACCAGCTAGATGAGAAAAATGGCCCACAAAAGTAATGTATCCATTTCTGGTTCTCAGGAACAAGAGCAAAAGGCTGAAGAAGAAAGAATTCGGATGGAGAACATTCTGAGTGGTAACCCCCAGCTGAACCTTACCGGCCCCGCACAGCCTCAAGCAAACTTCAAAGTGAAGAGGAGGTACTGTGCCATCTGTACTGTGATATCCATCCCCTTGCTCCCTCTCGTTACTCAGAGTCTGAAAATGTCATCACTGCTGTTGGTTTGTTTTGTTTTTTTTTTTCCTTTCCTCAGATCTTGTCACAAGCAGTATAATGTAGAATTGGGATACTGGTGTGTGTAGCGATTGTGTTGTGCATTTCTCTGAACAAGTCATCCTGCTACTTTGTGTTTAAAAAAAAGAGAGAAAGGGAGATTAAGAATTGTGTTTGTCTGACATTGTTCATCATGATACGTAAAGTAATAGGACCAAAGTTCCTCAAGAAATTTGATGTTATGCTCACCTTTAAAATGTAGCTGGTTTGGGGGTTTTGTTTCTTTGGGTTTTTTTAGTTTAACTCGAATTAATAAATAACAGCCTTTTTCTGAATATAGTTCTTGTTTGCAGATATTCCAGATACTGTTGTGTTTATCGCAATTAGGGCCATTAGATTAAAGGGGTTTTTCTGCTCTGTTCAAATGGCCATTATTTTCTGTAAAGACAAAATAATCTTTAATCTACTGATATTCATCTCGTTTCTGCCTGAGGACCATGTAAGAGGTGGCTTGGATTAGAAAAATAGATCTCTCTTTCTTGAAGACTAAAATCTAATCTTAATGACTCGCTGTTCTTAGTATATTTAAATAGCAGTGCCAAACTTCATTTATATATTTTTTGTAAATTGCATCTAATTGTCATACAAACTTACTGAAGTTAAAAACTTCTGTTTTCAGATGGGATGATGATGTTGTCTTCAAGAATTGTGCCAAGGGGATAGATGAATCGAAAAAGGACAAGAGATTTGTGAATGATACTCTGCGATCAGAATTTCACAAAAAGTTCATGGAAAAATACATCAAGTAGTACAGTTTTATGTGCGGTGGTGACGAAGGACTTGGAAGGTCGTGGTTGTTCCCTCCCTCTCCCTCAGAATTCAAGGCCGAATACTCGGTCATGAATTCCTAAACGCTTTTCCAAGATCATCAACAGCTTCATAATTAACAATTGCTATGTATCTGGAGTTTTTATTCCTTTGGTATTTTTTCCTTTTCAGTTTTAATTAAATCAGTTTCATGTCTCATGAATGTTTTTCTGTTCACATCCATCCACTGGCTTTCTTGTAAATGGTAGAAGAGAGAAGCTGGTTGGCAATAAACACTTTTAATTGTTTAAATTGCTTTCCAAAACAACCTGTATTTGTAATGATGGTGGTTTGTAACTTATGCAACTTACTTAAAGGTCAGTATTATCAAAGATGGGTAATAGCTGAGCATGATGAGCAGTGTGAACTGAGAAGAGCTGTACTTTCTGCAGCAAACTGGACTTACTTCCTCTGTATAATCTTCCTTTTTAGTTTCTTCTTACTCTCAACCAAGTTAGGTTTGGTGGGGTAGTTCCAAGTTTTTAGCAGCCCTGCTTTCTGGGCTCTCTTGACTTGGCACTTCTGGGGCGATACCGTGTAATGCTTGGAGGAACACTGGGTTTTTTTCTCTCCTTAATAAACCATTGCAGTGCTCGGTCCCTCAGCCACAGCCACGTGGCTGCAAGGTTCAGTCTGGGTGTGTGCGTGTGGTTCGGTAGTAATAGTGCTGGCAGAAACTTGCGAGTGTTTTTATTAAACAAGTGATCTCCTCAAGATGCCATAGTACACTTTGTTTGCTTCTTAAAAGTCCATTTTAACACTTAATAGGACAACATAAAATATGAATGACTGAAAAAAAAAAATCTGAGTTGTGAAGGATTTTATTTCCTGCCCCCCCCTTCTGTCATCTCAGTTGTGTTTGAAATCTTGGCCAAGTGACGCGCTGGCTATGAACCTAATATCTGCAAAATGTAGTAATTACCTCTCTACCTAGAAGGCTACAGTGGCAGAACTCAGATGTGTTTATGTAAAATTCTTGCCCTTTTCCTTGCCTATGTTATGCTCAGTCTGGTTCATTCTTACAGACACTGTTTTATAGTAATACAATTTTCAAGCTCTCAGTTAGAAAACCCATCTGATTTTCCTTTTAAGAGAGCAAATATAAAGCAAAATGCTTTAGATTTTTGTTGGGCATGACTCTAGTATCCTGTAAAAGCTTTCGTTAGCTTTATTTAGCTGTATTTTCCACCCTTTCATTGAGCTATGCATAGTGTACTAATGCCAGCAGCTAACACCCGTATTTACTCGGAAGCGAGATTTTCAGCATGCTTTTGAGGTCACGTGAGCTCCTACAGCTACAGGAGGAGTATGTGTTTGTGTTACTTCTGGTAGCTGCCTCGTGATAGTAGTGATTCTTGGGAAGCAGAAATATGGGTGCCGTTTGTAATTCTCTCTCTTTAAATTAAAGGTGCTAAAATCTTGGTGTATAGGCAACATATTTAGAAGAAAAAAAAAAAAAGTTAAGGGCTCTACTTGTCAGAGTCTGGCTGTGGAGAAGGCAGCTGCTGCTTTAGGTCTGACCTAACAGCATATTTGTCATGGCAACAACAAAAAATACATTGGTCTCGCAGTATTACAAGATATAATCGCTGTGCCAAAGCGAGCATACAGTTTTATTGGAGAGGGGGAGACATAGTTGAAACTCCAGTTCGATGCCTTCATGGAAATCTAAGTGCATAATGCCATCGTTTGTGTTCTTGCAGTAATGTAACTCTTTTCTTAGAGAAAATAAGACTTTCAAGAAGTCAGATGGCCAGGGCTGGATGAGATCATCTTCAGCTATGCGGGCAGTTGTTCTCAGCACCTGCAGGAACATCCCTTTCTTAAACTTTTGCATAATGCATAGGTGAACTCTGTCATTTTTTCCAGTAGCTCTCCTTCTCCCTGGTTCTGGAGAAGGAGCTGTCGGGGCCATGTAGCTCCCGGCTGCAGCTGTATTTGAGGGTTTTTGTTGGCATTGTTGCTCGCCTCAACCACAGAATTTGCCGATCCTATCTCTAACCTCCCCCCTCAAAGCTTTTGTATTTTAGCCTCCTGCAGTGTAAGCTGACCCACAGTCTGAGGACTCGGCACTACACAAACACAATTTGATAATTAAGGAACCTCCAGCCTTATCTCTTGGTGGGTTTTGCATCATTAACTACTGAATTTTCTTCACTGGGTACTGGAAAACTGTAAAGCGTTCTGTGCTTTTTGTTGGGGAAGAGCCCTGCGCTTTCAGTATTAATCCTGTATTGATGTTTAATTTTCTACTGTGCTGCTTGTACGCATCCAGGAAAAGACAAGGAGATAACTTGGTTTTGTAATACTGCAGTGTGAGTGTGAGTTCTTAAAAAAAAAAAAAAAAATCAGACTGTGATGTTCTGTACCTCTGTTCCGAGCATAATTTTTTCCAAGAACCTCTGTTCGGTATGACAAATAACTTTCAACAAAGGCAGTGGAGCTGGCAGGGCAGCTGTTCCCAGGAGGTGAAGTGGAAGAAAGTTAACATTTGGCACTTCAAGGCATGCAGTATTTTACAGTTCCTAGCAGTCAGGGTTGTTTAATCCTGTGTTTTTGCAAGCAACACCTGAACTCACCGTAACTGGTGGCTTGAAACAAAGCTGCTTGCTTTATAAACAGTTTCCCCCTTATTTATGGTTATTTTCGGTGTAGCATTGGAATGGAAAAACAGGATCTGTTTTTTCCATAGGGACCAGCACTTAAACCTCTAAGGGTTTTTTAAAAAGCCTTGTCTTTCAAAATTTGTCTTGGCATATGTTTTATAATTCTAAAGGGATTAATAGTACGAGGAGTAAAGCTTAATGATAGTCCTGCAGCTGGAAATAATTGTGCTCTGTGTATACAAGGTTCTAAAATGTTTAGCATCTATTTCTCTTCCTCAGGTAGATGGCTGGACATTAAAGGCTGCATATCGTAACCAGCAAAATTATTATCTGCATTTTTCAGGATTTCTTGTAGTCATGGGTACCACATAGACATCCTGTGAATGTCTGGAAGGACATTTTTTTTATTATTATTTTAGAAAAAAGCCTTTTCAGTGAGTTCCAGTTCCTCTGTAAACTCGGATTTTGTTTGAAATAAAATCCTGGGGCAGAGGTGATCTGGTACTTGCTCTGTGTACCGCTGAGTGCCTCATGGGCAGCCCAGCTGGTGCCGGGTTGGTGACAGCCTGGTGTCTCCTTTCAGCCACGCACGTATCGGTTCCCATTGAGCTGCTGAAATTTCTCTCTGCTTTTTCCTGCAACTACAAATGCCTTAAAGTCTTTCATGCTGGAGGCGAGATCTGAGCACAGGGTCAAACCATCAAACGGGTGGGACGTGTTGCCTTGAAGCGCTTCACTTCAAAGGGAGATCTGTAGGATTCAAGCCTTGAAGGGATGTGCTGATGCTCAGAAAGTGCTTCAGGCTCCAGTGTTTATTCATATCTGCAGTCCTGGCTAGTTGGAGCCTGAAGCCTTAATTCTCTCCTGAGGAAAGACGGAATCACTCTGATTTTATTTCTTTCTCGGTGCCTAGCGCTCTGCAATACAGGTTCAGGGAGAGAGAAAGAAATGTTTCCATCCGCAGAAGTCGTCCTTCTGTCTCCTGTCAACTGTTAGAATGCAGTCTAGTTAGTTGTTGGTCAAGAACAGAGCCTTCTGCTAAATTTTGTCTTGCTTATTTGGTGGAAAAATTTTGGGATGCTTTTTTCAAAGAAACAAAGTCTCTGTTGTGTTGTAAGTTCAGCTACTTTTTCCCTAGGCAGACTGACATTGTCATATTTAGCCGTAAAAGCAAATGCAGCCTTATTTATGTCACGCAAGATATGGTTCAAACGGAGCATAAATAGGCACATTTGGAAAAGACATATTTCCTAAGAAAGGCTCCTCTGAGCACTTTTTTTGAATTGGGCATAAGCAGAAAGAAGAGTGATGTTTCCATAGGTGTCCAAGTCACTCATTTTAAATAAATTAAAAAAACCCACACCTGAATTCTTATGCTGTTCAATCACAGATACATTCCACTGTTGTGCTGCTTTCCTCCTTTGACTAAGATTATACATGTTGCCTTTTATGAATTTCAGACTTGACTTTTTTCTTGTCCAAGGTGGGCATATCCATGGGTACTGAGGGAGCTGGTGGAGGTGCTCACCAAGCCCCTTTCCATCACTTCCCAGCAGTCTTGGATGTCTGGGGATGTTCCGCTTGACTGGAGGTTGGCAAATGTGACACCCATTTACAAGAAGGGTTGGAGGGAGGATCCAGGGAACTACAGGGCTGTCAGTCTGACCTCGATGCTCTGGAACATTATGGAGCAGATCATCTTGAGTGCCATCATGCAGCAGGTACAGGACAACCAGGAGATCAGGCCCAGTCAATGTGGGTTTATGAAAGGCAGATCCTGCTTGACTGACCTGATCTCCTTCTAGGACCAGGTGACCCCGCTTAGTGGACAAGGGAAAAGCTGGTGATGTGGTGTACCTGGACTTTAGCAAAGCCTTTGACACAGTTTCCCACAGAATTCTGCTTGAGAAACTGGCTGCTCATGGCCTGGACAGGCATACTCTTAGCTGGGTAAAAAACTGGATGGCCGGGCCCAAAGGGTGGTGGTGAATGAAGTTAAATCCAGTTGGAGGCTGGTCATACCTGGTGTTCCCCAGGGCTCAGTTTTGGGGCCAGTTCTGTTTAACACCTTTATCAAGACCTGGATGAGGGGATTGAGTGTGTCCTCAGTAAGTTTGCAGATGGCACCAATCTGTGTTCAGTTTTGGGCCCCTCACTCCCAGAAGGACATTGAGGGGCTGGTGCATGTCCAGAGAAGGGAAATGAATCTGGTGAGGGGTCTGGAGCACAGGGCTGGTGGGGAGAAGCTGAGGGAGCTGGGGGTGTTCACCCTACAGAAGAGGAGGCTGAGGGGAGACCTTATCGCCCTCTACAGCTGCCTGACAGGAGGGGGGAGTGAGGTGGGGGTTGGTCTCTCCTCCCAAGGCACAAGTGATAGGACGAGGGGAAATGGCCTCAAGTTGCACCAAGGGAGGTTGGAGATTAGGAAAAATTTCTTCCCCCAAAGGGTTGTCAAGCATTGGAATGGGCTGCCCCGGGAAATGGTCGAGTCCCCATCCCTGGAGGTATTTAAAAGATGAGTACAGGAGGGGGGAGTGAGGTGGGGGTTGGTCTCTCCTCCCAAGGCACAAGTGATAGGACGAGGGGAAATGGCCTCAAGTTGCACCAAGGGAGGTTGGAGATTAGGAAAAATTTCTTCCCCCAAAGGGTTGTCAAGCATTGGAATGGGCTGCCCCGGGAAATGGTCGAGTCCCCATCCCTGGAGGTATTTAAAAGATGAGTAGATGAGGTGCTTAGGGACATGGTTTAGTGGTGGACAGGGACAGTTGGACTCAATAATCTTAAAGGTCTTTTCCAAACAAATGATTCTGTGATTCTATGGTATCATGGGATGTAACTGAAGAAGAATGACCATGCTACTGTCACTGGCAGGGAAACAAGATTGCAAATTAAATAGTGACTATGTCTAGTTCTTAAATTGCTTCAGTTCAAAGAGTTGGAATATACCTAAGGGCTATGATAAAAGCACGTATGTGCAGTATGGGTGGTTTTTTTCCCCTTTGTAGCCTCTGAGCAGCAATTCAGGAGGAGAAGCTTAATGTCACTGATCCTATCAAAATCTGGTCTTTCAAGTGGGAACTGCAGCTTTGGTGATATAAAAAAAAAAAAAAACCCACGCACAAAATTGCTGGGAATTCTAATGTTCCTAGTGCAGCTCTAACTGGAAGGAAGAGTCATCAAGATGTAAACAAATTACATCTCCTAATCCAAATCCCAACTTCCCACCAAGCCTAAGAAATACCTTCTGAAGTGGAGTGAAGCGGCACTCTGCAGGGGATAGAAACATGAAACTGAGAAAACGGGTAAGTCCCATCACTCTCTGTTGGAATCAGTAGCATCTGGATAGGAAAAGAAGATGATTTTTAAATTGTACTGTAATAAAATTTTATAGCTGACAACAGGGATTTGTTGTGATAGGTTTTATGCAGATGGAGACTGTAAAACAGGCTGTATTCTGAAAAGCCTGAATGCTCAGAAGTTTGGATGAAGGCAGGGTGGCAACAGACCATTATGTCCCATCAAAAATTGTATTTGGGAGCCGAGTGGTGAGCCCCTCTCCCCTCGGTACCTGCCCACTGCCTTACCTACAGATTTGCTCCTCCTCATGGCTCTTTTCTTAAAAATAGTTGGGCTGTTTCTTTATTTTTGAACCGAGTCATTTCCAGTGGATGGGATTTCAAGCAGCTGGTTTTCCTCCAGTGGAAAAGGATTATTTTCACTGCACTGGGAGAACAAGTTACAAGTTTGTGCTGGATAAGGGTGGAGGGTAGATCTGCCAGTCAGTCTGTTTGCTTTCAAATGGGCTCCCCTGGGGCTGATCCCTGCCCTTTGGGGTAGCCCAATTGGACTTGGTGGCATGCGAGTTGCTGGAATTGGTGGGGTGCATGGATGGTGCGCTCTGCTGAAGCATGACATGCTGAACCACCTCCTGGGTAGGTGGCTGAATCCTAGCACTAAACTTCTGGATATTCTTGTTGCAGGATGAATTAACTCTCTGAAAGGAAAGTCTGTTCTGACTGAAATTCCCATGAACTCCCATGAAATTCCCCTCTGGTGTGCATGCTTCTTAGACGTCCCGTGCTCACATGCCCCAGGTAGCAACCCCAGATGTACCGTTGTGGTGAGGCCAGCACGATTCAGAGCTTCTGTAAATGTTCTTGCTGAATTTGTCCTTCTGGTGCAGACCATTGCCACTTAAATGTCACGGTCCCTTTGAGCACAGGTCAGCAATGGGCTTGAACAAAGCCAGTTGTGTAGCCTGGTTTGCAAAGGCTGATGCTCCTGGGTGCAGTTTACCAGCCCTCAAGCTTAGCTGTGATAGTCTCAGTCTCCTCCCTTGCTCTGGAGAGGTACTGCAGCTGGAGGCTGCTCTGAAGCCAGGCAGCGACAGAAGTTGTCAATGCCAGACAGAAGAGTGGAAGAAGTTGGGGTCCTGTTGGGTTTCTTTCTTCTGATGAAGTGAACAGTCACCTCTTAAAGGACTCTGTTGAACCAACTTTCCCCAGCAAAACCTACTCCCCGCTAGCAATATATGGATTCATCGCATGTCTTACTCTGAGACTTGGTTTGGGTAGTGTAACAAAGACAGTGAACATTGTGATTTATTTTAGAAGATGATACTTCAGTGGAACATCTTTCTGGTTTAAAACTTCTAGTGCTAAATTAATTTCAGATGGAGGCACAGGT